GAAAGATATTGGACTCAAGACAACACAAGTTCAACTTCACAACGAAGGATATTGGACTCCAGACAACGCAAGTTCAACTTCACGACGAAGGGACCGCTGGTTGTCAATAAACAATTTCTCAATTTCAGAGCCAATTTCAACTTCACAGCGAAGGATATTGGACTCCAGACAACGCAAGTTCAACTTCACGACGAAGGGACCGCTGGTTGTCAATAAACAATTTCCTAATTTCAGAGCCAATTTCAACTTCACAGCGAAGGATATTGGACTCCAGACAACGCAAGTTCAACTTCACGACGAAGGGACCGCTGGTTGTCAATAAATAATTTCCCAATTTCAGAGCCAATTTCAACTTCACTTCGAAGGATATTGGACTCTAGACAACGCAAGTTCAACTTCACGACGAAGGGACCGCTGGTTGTCAATAAACAACTTCCCAATTTCAGAGCCAATTTCAACTTCACAGCGAAGGATATTAGACTCCAGACGACGCAAGTTCAACTTCACGACGAAGGGACCGCTTGTTGTCAATAAACAACTTCCCAATTTCAGAGCCAATTTCAACTTCACAGCGAAGGATATTGGACTCCAGACAACGCAAGTTCAACTTCACGACGAAGGGATCGCTGGTTGTCAATAAACAATTTCCCAATTTCAGAGCCAATTTCAACTTCACAACAAAGGATATTGGACTCCAGACAACGCAAGTTCAACTTCACGACGAAGGGACCGCTGGTTGTCAATAAACAACTTCCCAATTCAGAGCCAATTTCAACTTCACAGCGAAGGATATTGGACTCCAGACAACGCAAGTTCAACTTCACGACGAAGGGACTGCTGGTTGTCAACAAACAACTTCTCAATTTCAGAGCTAATTTTAACTTCACAGCGAAAGATATTGGACTCAAGACAACACAAGTTCAACTTCACAACGAAGGATATTGGACTCCAGACAACGAAAGTTCAACTTCACGACGAAGGGACCGCTGGTTGTCAATAAACAATTTCTCAATTTCAGAGCCAATTTCAACTTCACAGCGAAGGATATTGGACTCCAGACAACGCAAGTTCAACTTCACGACGAAGGGACCGCTGGTTGTCAATAAACAATTTCCTAATTTCAGAGCCAATTTCAACTTCACAGCGAAGGATATTGGACTCCAGACAACACAAGTTCAACTTCACGACGAAGGGACCGCTGGTTGTCAATAAATAATTTCCCAATTTCAGAGCCAATTTCAACTTCACTTCGAAGGATATTGGACTCTAGACAACGCAAGTTCAACTTCACGACGAAGGGACCGCTGGTTGTCAATAAACAACTTCCCAATTTCAGAGCCAATTTCAACTTCACAGCGAAGGATATTAGACTCCAGACGACGCAAGTTCAACTTCACGACGAAGGGACCGCTTGTTGTCAATAAACAACATCCCAATTTCAGAGCCAATTTCAACTTCACAGCGAAGGATATTGGACTCCAGACAACGCAAGTTCAACTTCACGACGAAGGGATCGCTGGTTGTCAATAAACAATTTCCCAATTTCAGAGCCAATTTCAACTTCACAGCGAAGGATATTGGACTCGAGACAACACAAGTTCAACTTCACAACGAAGGGACGGATGGTTGTCAACAAACAATTTCCCGGTTCCAGAGCCAATTTCAACTTCACGACGGAGGATATTGGACTCGGAACAATGCTACTTACTTGGACTTCAACTTCACGACGAAGGATATCCAATTTCAGGCTCAACTTCACGAAGAAGGGAATCGTGCACACAAGCATCATCCATCTTTAGATTGGATTTCAACTTCACGACGAAGGATATCCAACTCAAAGAAGGAGTATATGTCAACAAAGACCTTCGAGTTCGACTACGCTCAGCTCCAAGGCACATCATTTACAGCATAACTCAAGGCTAGAAGGGTTATCTGCCATCAAAATTGTCGAGTTCGATTTCATTCAGCTCGATGACACATCAATCGCACTACTTTCCGGTTGCAGTCGAGGTTTTCAAGTCGAGAAGAGAACCTGGGTTAACCGTGCCTTAGTGACAAGCAACCATTTTCAAGCAAAAGCTATTTGTCAATGAAGATTGCTGAGTTCGATTCCGACCCAAGGTCTTTAAACCGAGAAGAAGACCGAAGGGAAACGAGAAGCCACGTGCTGATTCAAATTCCGAACTACGGCTTCAATTTCATATCATTTCAAGATGAACTCGGATTCACGACGGAGGAGTCATCCGTAACTCAATTCGACATGGAGTTATTGAAACATCAGAGTCAATTTTCAACTCCACCGAACAAAAAGTGTGTCTTTTAATCTTTATCCTATCCCCGTTAAACGACTATGGGCAAAGAGGGGCAACTGTCAACACACCTTTTCGTCCTATTAGGATTCAAACTCCTAAAAATAAGATAGAATTTTGCTAGGATTCAAACTCCTAAAAATATGATAGAGTTCTACTATGATTTAAACTCCTAAAGATAGGATCCACAAGCACTATAAATAGCCATTGTAACTCACTATTGTAACACACGATTTACACACAAAACACAGAGAAAAGCACGGAAAATACAAAGGCAAAGCTATTGTAAACGATTCGAAAAGGAAATAAAATGTAGCATCTTTTTTACATTGGTTCGTTCATTTCTCGCATGTGCACGTTATTTTTCTTGAGATTTGGTTCGAATAACCCAAAACGTGGGATGCGCATATAACCAAAAAGGGGTGGGGTTTCGAAGTTTCGAACCTAGATCTACCCCCGAGGCGTGTTCATTTTTTTAAATATTTAATTCACCCCCTAAATCATTTTTTTCCTACTTTATTATTATTGTTATATATGCATGTTACTTTCTATTAATTTTATTATATATGTATATATGTATATATATATATATATATATATATATATATATATATATATATTTATATATTTCCTATTTTACATGTATAAATACGTATATTACTTTTGATTTTCTTTTTTTTATTATTATTATTTTACTTATATATATATGCTTTTACTTTTTTATATATTTTACTCATTTATTTATCTATTTTCTTTTTATCTTTATCCTATATTTTATGTTTTTATATTCTTTTACTTGTTTTATTTATTTATTTGCATTATCATTTTATTTTTATTTAGTTTTTTGCTATGTATATATTAGTGTTATTATATTTTTTATTTTATATATTCTATTCATTTTATATTTACTTTATTTCTCTCTTAATCTCCTTATTTTATTTGTTTTACTTTATTTATCATTTATTCACCTCTTCTAACCCATATTTTGACTTTTAAAGGGTATATTTGTAAATCTGTCAAAGGTAAGTAATTTTGGATCATTATTTTATCTTTTAATTTAAACTTATAATTTTCTTAATCAAAGACAACTGGAAATTACGTAGTACCGAAAGGGGAGTTCAAAGGTGCTAATCCTTCCTTGACAGTAACCGACTCCCGAACCCGACACATCTTTAGAAAGACGCAGATCATGTAAGAAATAAGGTATTCGATCAACCTATTTATTCTTAAATAAATGATCGGTGGCGACTCCAATCCACATTTTTTAAGTCGAAGCCCAATTTCGGGGCCCAACCGAAAGACGGTTGCGACACCTAAATATTAAATTTCCCCACCAATTAACCCAACATAAGCAACAACATTTAGTTCATTTTAGGCCCATAACAATAAGTGATTATGTTGGGTTTAGGATTTAAAAGTTAGATTTAACCAACTATAAGTGAACAATACTTAATTTGATTCGAAAAAAATATTTTTCGACTTGAATTGATTCAAAAAAATTTGATACAATTGACTTTGAGTTGTAATTTCATAAACTCAACTTAAAACAATTTCAAGTTAAACTCGAGTTGTAAAATACAACTTGAATATCTCAAAATTTTTAGTAATTTGTGGATTAATTTTTAAGTTTGAGTCAAGTCCCTTGACTCTGTATGATATATGTATATCACATATGGAAAAAATATAAAGAAATATATGTATTGCATATGGTTAAAAAAACTACTTAAATTAGAATAAAATAATATTATATATTATAAATATTTATAATTAAATTTAAACAGAAACTTGAAAATTCAATTTTAATTGGACTTGATTTAAATTTTATAAACTCAAATTGAAAAAATTTCGAGTCAACTATTTTATAAACTGAACTGAATTAGAATCAAATAATATTATAATATGATAAATATTTATAATTAAATTTAAACAGAAACTTGAAAATTCAATTCAATTTGACTTGATTTAAATTTTATAAACTCAAATCGAAAAAATTTCGAGTCAACTATTTTATAAATTGAATTGAGTATTTAGGTCCAATATAACCCTAAATCCTAAACCCCACATAATCACTTATTGTTCACTTATAGTTGGTTACATTTTTTTAAAATGGTTATGTTTTGAGGGTTTAGGGTTGTTGCTTCAAGTTCAATTTGTTATGGTAGATTCTGAGAATGAATTATGAATTTGGGGTTGAGCATATAATTGAAGTATTTTGGAATTTGAGGTTTAGAATGTATTTGATGATTGTGTTGTAAGTTTTAAAAATTGGGGATTTAAATGCAAGCGTCTGAAAAGTTCAGTGATCATTTATATAATTTACCCTAACGGCAGTGAAACGGCGGTTACGTCGGGACCATATCGCAAACAAATTAAATATTTGGTGGCTGTATTACAAGTTTTAAAAATTGGAGGAATTAAATGCAAGTATCTAAAAAATTCAGTGACCAATTATATACTTTACTCTTAAAATAAACAATTTGCAGAGGAAAAATGGAGTCTTCCAATGTCTAGGCTGTAAGCAATACACTCACTCACTCACTCAAACCGACTGAAAATCCCACCACCAACACCATTGCCACTGCCAAAACCACCGTGGCCGCCACCCTCACGGTGTTTTCCCCTGAAGACATTAACCTTTAAAAAGCTTCTCACCATTCACCACCCTTATTAACTTCTTCGCTATTCAAGATTTATAACACTTGTATTTTGTATCTTTTTTCTTTGATGCTCACATGTATGGTTTCATCAAACTAAATTGATGCTCAACAGTTTTGGTGTAAAGTGTAAGCAAAGCTTTCACCTCCAATGAAACCATCCTTCTCACATGAATGTTGTCTCCTGGAAGTGTGACTTTTCACAGTTTCCATTGAAACCTTAAGAAACCCTCTCTTTCTTTCAACTCGCAACCTGGTTTTTTTCTTCTTAGTTTCCACCTTGGGTTAATGGCTAGCCTATTTGCAGGTACCCATCTCTTGTTCTATCTGTTCCTTTTTAGAACAGTCTTTGTCGCCTCTCTTTCACCTGATGGAGAGGCCCTTCTCTCTCTTTTATCAGCTGCTGACCCGTCTGCAAAAGCTTCCTCCTCGGTGCTCTCTTCATGGAACCCAAAGAGCCCGACGCCATGTTTTTGGAAAGGGATAACATGTTCCCCTCAAGATAGGGTCATCTCCCTTTCACTGCCCGACGCATTCCTCAATCTCTCTTCTTTGCCCCCACAGCTTTCATCTCTTTCTTCATTGCAACTTCTCAATTTCTCTTCCACCAATATTTCAGGCACAATCCCTTCTTCTTTTGGCAAACTGGTTCACCTTCGCCTTTTGGACCTGTCCTCTAACACTCTCACCGGTTCCATTCCTCAAGAGCTCGGCCAGCATTCTTCACTACAGTTTCTTTTCCTCAACTCAAATAGATTGAGTGGTCGGATCCCTCCACAGCTAGGGAACCTCACTTCATTACAAGTCCTTTGTCTACAAGATAATCTCCTCAATGGCTCAATACCATCTCAAATGGGTTCATTGGTTTCTCTCCAGCAGTTTAGAATAGGAGGCAATCCTTATCTGACGGGAGAAATCCCTTCACAGTTGGGCTTACTTACAAATCTGACCACATTTGGGGCAGCCGCCACTGGTCTTTCTGGCGTTATTCCACCAGCTTTTGGGAACTTGATCAACCTTCAAACTCTGGCTCTTTATGATACCGAGGTGTCTGGATCGATACCACCTGAACTGGGGTTATGTTCAGAGTTGAGGAATCTGTATTTGCATATGAACAAGCTGACTGGTACTATTCCTCTAAAGTTGGGGAATCTTCAAAAGGTTACTAGCTTGCTTTTATGGGGTAATGCTTTGACAGGTTCAATCCCGGCTGAGTTATCCAATTGTTCTTCACTTGTTGTGCTTGATGCTTCGGCTAATGATCTTTCTGGTGAAATACCTGGGGATATTGGGAAGCTTGGTGTTCTTGAGCAGCTTTATTTGTCCGATAATTCGTTAACTGGGTTGATTCCTTGGGAGTTAAGCAACTGCTAGAGTTTGACTACGCTTCAACTCGACAAGAATCAATTATCTGGTTCAGTACCATGGCAGATTGGTAACTTGAAAAACTTGCAGAGTTTCTTTTTGTGGGGTAATTTGGTTTCTTGGACAATCCCATCATCCTTTGGGAACTGCACTGAACTTTACGCCATGGATCTTTCCAGGAACAAGCTTACGGGCTCAATGCCAGAAGAGATTTTCAGTTTGAAGAAGCTCAGCAAGCTTTTGCTTCTTGGAAATTCTTTATCTGGAGAGTTGCCCAGAAGAGTTTCGAATTGTCAATCATTGGTGAGGTTAAGGCTTGGGGAAAACCGGCTTTCAGGGCAGATTCCGAAGGAGATCGGCCAACTGCAGAACTTAGTGTTCCTCGACTTGTATATGAATCATTTCTCAGGCATTCTTCCTTCTGAGATTGCAAACATCAGAGTTCTTGAGCTATTGGATGTTCACAACAACCACATTAATGGAGAAATACCATCTCAGCTTGGGGAGCTTGTGAATTTAGAGCAGCTTGATCTTAGTCGAAACAGCTTCACCAGAGAAATTCCTTCTAGTTTCGGTAATTTTAGTTACTTGAACAAGCTGATTCTCAAACAACAATTTACTAACAGGGTCCATCCCGAAATCGGTTCGGAATCTGGGGAAACTTACACTGCTTAAGTTAAGCTTCAACAATCTCTCAGGTGAAATTCCTTCCGAAATTGGTTATTTGACAAGCCTATCGATCGGTTTGGACTTGAGTTCCAATATGTTTACTGGTGAAATACCAGAATCAATGTCTGGATTGAGACAGTTACAGTTACTTGATCTGTCTCATAACATGTTACATGGAAAAATCAAGGTTATAGGTTCCCTTACCAGTCTTGCTTCTTTGAATATCTCGTTCAATAATTTCTCGGGTCCTATACCTGTAACGCCTTTCTTTAGGACCCTTTCTTTCAATTCTTATCTACATAACCCGGATCTATGTCAATCCCTGGATGGTTCCACTTGTTCTTCGAGTCTAATACAAAAAAACCGATTAAGATCAGCCAAAACCGTTGCTTTGGTTTCTGTGATCTTTGCCTCGGTTACTATCGGGGTCATTGCTTTATGGTTTTTAGTTACAAGGAATCATAGGTATATGATAGAGAAATCTGCAGGAGCTTCATCATCTTCACCGGGAGCTGAAGATTTCTCTTATCCATGGACTTTCATTCCATTTCAAAAGCTCTGTTTCACCAACGATAACATCTTGGACTGTCTCAAAGACGAGAATGTGATAGGAAAAGGCTGTTCCGGGGTTGTTTACAGAGCAGAAATGCCGAATGGGGAACTGGTTGCGGTGAAAAAGCTTTGGAAAACAAAGCAAGATGAAGAGCCAACAGTGGACTCATTTGCAGCAGAAATTCAGATTCTTGGACACATTCGCCACAGAAACATTGTGAAGCTCTTAGGTTATTGTTCCAATAAAAGTGTTAAGCTCCTGTTATACAATTACATTCCCAATGGTAATCTGCTACAGCTTTTGCAAAGAAATCGAAACTTGGATTGGGAAACAAGGTACAAGGTTGCCGTCGGATCAGCTCAAGGTTTAGCTTATCTTCACCATGATTGCAGACCAGCAATTCTACACAGAGATGTGAAATGCAATAACATACTCTTGGATTCAAAGTTTGAGGCTTATTTAGCAGATTTCGGATTGGCGAAACTGATGAACTCTCCTAATTACCACCACGCAATGTCCAGAGTTGCAGGCTCATATGGTTATATTGCCCCAGGCAAGTTCCCTACTTAACTTTTATATGATCAATTGGAGTACAATATTCATGCCTGCATGGTCTGAGCTGCACGGTTTTGTCCGTAAAAGCACCTTAAAGATCGAAAACAATGCATTTATATCCTGATCATGTTCCAGCATAGCTAGTTATTTAATGTCTTGCCTGAGGAACGTTTATTAATTTGAATGCAGAATATGGGTACACAATGAACATAACCGAGAAGAGTGATGTCTACAGTTATGGGGTGGTCCTGCTGGAGATACTAACTGGGCGCAGCGCGGTCGAATCACGGGTGGGGGACGGATTGCACATCGTGGAGTGGGTGAAGAAGAAAATGGGAAGCTTCGAACCAGCTGCATCGATTCTCGATGCGAAGCTTCAAGGATTGCCCGATCAACTGGTCCAGGAAATGCTTCAAACAATTGGGATTGCAATGTTTTGTGTGAATTCTTCACCGGCGGAGCGTCCGACGATGAAGGAGGTGGTGGCATTGTTAATGGAAGTTAAAATACCACCGGAAGAATGGGGAAAGACTTCTCAACCTCTAATAAAGCAATCATCAAATCAGAGTTAATTTGTTTTAGTTTAAATTCCAAGAACATCATGGATAAAGGGAAAGCATGGGAAATGCGATATTGTTGGATTTGGATGACGTGTACAGTATTAGAGACATCAAAATCTCATGATTTGCTATGTTAATGCCTTTTCTTTTGGATCATGCTTCAATGTATCCAACACCTACCAAATCTTTGACCAATCTTTTCTTATTCTTACGTAACTATTGAGAATGGATATGTTTATCGTATGAATATGTTCATTTTTTAAAATAAAAAAACACTTTTTTTATTAAAGATATACTTAAGATAAGGGTAAATTATATTAAATTTTAGGTTGTATATCGTTTATATAATTGAACTTTCATTTTTTTTTCAATTATAGTATTAAATTTTAGTTTTAACTTCAATTATGTCATTGATAATCATAATGGTCGAAAGATTTGTCTATATCATCATACTATTAAAATTTAAAGGTACAATGATATAATTGAAGCTATTTTTTTTTACAGAAGCTACTAGTTTTGTTAAAAATAGGAAATATTCAAAATTACAATGAATGTTTGTAATCATAATGGTAAATTAAACACACAATTAAGATATTTTCTTATAATCATTGATACAAAAAACTTGCCTCCTAATATTATGCATGGACCATACCAGGAAAATGTTAAAAACCTAACAAAAAATTTGAACAAAATATAGATAAGAACATATTTGATCACATAGGTAAACAAACCACAAAAGAGGATCAAACTACTGAAAAACTACAACATACAGTAAATCAAAGTCGAGCGACGTGAGAAAATTATCCACGAACATAAACCACACATCTAAATCCAATATCAGGTTCAAATTAGGAAAGATCAACGTGATAACAAATAAATACCATCTTGATTAATCAAGACGATGTCAAATCAAACATTGGGAAAAAGATAAATGAAAACGACAAAAAAATAAAAAGCAAGTAAAAAAATAGAGAAAAACATGCCAAAGTTATTAAAAACCTAAAAAACGAAAAATAAAATAGAAAATAATGAGAAATACCAGTAGTGATAGTCAATAATAAAGTTGGTATCATTGTCTATCAACCAAAGATGAAAAGAATTTAAACCACATTTTAGAAAAGGGAAAATAACTTAAGTGACTAGGAATTTTTTATAATTAATCTAAGTTAAAATCAAAATTTAATATTATAATTGAAAAAATTAAAAATAAATAATATAAATAATGTATAAACTATAATTTAATTGTATATGATATAATTTACTCATAATTAGGGGTGTGTAAAAATATCCAACCATGTTGACCCAATCCGTCGACCCAAAACTAAAAAAACCAGGTAATTTTCTAAAAACTTTACTCAATCGGGTACCTGACCCAACATTTCCCGGGTCGGGCCCGAGTCACAAAATTGAAATTTTTCAAATACCCGAGATCAGAGAATTTTTTATATATAAAATAATATTATATTATTATATATTTAATTATTAATAATATTATATATTTAATTTTTAATCAATAAGACGCGATTGGCCCAAGGGAGCTTGCGGTTCATCCTTGGGAACACGATTTAATAATATCATATATTTAATAATTTTATATTATTATATATTTAATTATTAACAATATCATATATTTAATTATGAACTTTTATGTTTTATTTATATTATGAATTATTAGATTTTGTATTTCGAACTTTTAAATTTTATGTTTAAATGTTAGATTATAAAATTCGAAGTTTCATACATTTAAATTTATATGTGTACTTTTTAATTAATAATTTAAAAATAAAAAAATGAGTATATGAGTACCTAAATTACGGGTACCCACAAAATTTAGATACTTAATTACCGGTACCCAAAACATGATCAAAACATAGACCGAAAAATCAATTATCCGACACTTTGGGTACCCAAAAACCCAGTAACTGAATTTGCACACCCCTACCCATAATTACATGGATGGATAGCAATCAATCAATCAATTACTACTGCATGCATATACTGGGAGTAGATCCAATGATGCAGAACAAAAGCGGACAGGCAAACCACACCCCATGCTTCCTCACATTTTTTTTTCATTTTCTTTTTGTTTAAAGACCTTTTAGCATTCGGAGATTGTATTGTTTTTAAATTCGTAATCGATCAGAATTTTTAAAAATTAAATAGGCATATTATTTTATTTTAAACAAAACAAAATAAAATATTTATTTAAATAATATCAATTTTCTTATTTTTTAATCGAATAAAAGAGTTGATATCCGGTCTTTTTCAGCCCTTTACATTGCTCAATCAATCTTATTGTAATTTGGGTAAATTATACAATTGATCATCTAATTATTGTCTCTTTTCATTTTGACCGCTATTTTTAAAATTTTGTCAATTAGGTCATCCAACTTTTTTTTGATTAATCTGGGATAAGAATAAGGTAGTATACATTCAAAGATAACTCTCAACCATTTGACGTTGAACGCTCTTACTCCTAACATTCTTGGTGCTCGAACTCGGGAGCTCATGGAATAACAATAATTCATTTACCAGTGAGGTCGCTTATTTCGTGCTACAACTATTTAAATGTATTCAATCAAGTCATTTGTCATTAACATTTAATGAAAGTGCTGACATGATAGTTAATAAAATCGGTAAGATTAAATTTATTAAACTTAATGAAAATTATGATCGAATTGATATAATGTATAAATATTGATGATTAAATGTGTGATTATACCAACTGTCACATCATCGCTTTCATTAAATGTTAATGAAAACTCGATAAATAACTTGATTGAATGCATTTAAATAATTAGATAACATGATTGATAAAACTTTAAAAATGATTATCAAAATAAAAAATATAATGATTAAGTAGTCAATGATATAATTTATTATTGTTTGGCGCTTTTGGTCAAAGAAAACAAAATCAAAAGAAAAGATGTGTTGGGTTGTCTGTATAAGTCTGACGCTGACAAAGGAAAAGTATGCAGAGTATCCATTATGTCTTGTTTTCTTTTGTGTGCTTTAACGTTAGACGACAATTAAGCCCAACAATCGCCGATTGTAAGGTTGTAAATGAGAGGAGTTAAATCGTAAAATATTTAAGATTAATTCAGTTAAAATTAGATAAATATTTAATTTGAATAGATTTGATTTAAGCTCGATTTGAGTTTTTAATAAATTGGAACATGCTATTTCATACTCAATTCTATAAACTCGTGAGTAATTTAAAAAAATAATATCTTAAAAATTTATTTTATTAATAATTAAATTATTAATAATATTACATTATATGTTAATTTTTTTAAAAACAGTATAAATGTACTTAAAATTTATGTTCGAGTTTGAACTTTAACCGAGTTAAGTTGAATATTTTAATTATTATTTTAAGATTTTTCGAGCTTCAATTCATTATTTTGAGTTTGAGTCGAGTTTAAAAATTTTAGACTTATGAGTTTTTAAATAGACTCGAACTCCATTTCAAAATTTTCAAATCGAGTTGAGCTCAACAATATTTGAACTCGACTCGTTTACAACCCTATTCAATTAGTAAGAAATTTGAGCTCACACCTCAAACTTCAATTGGCAAGCTCTAACTTTAAACTTTAATTTGATTTTTGGGTTGACTTTTAATTATTTTATTTTAGAATAATGAACAAAAAACTCAAATTATTTAAATTAGTTCATTCAAATTAATATATCTATTTAAAGATAAACTTGGTTATTATGTTTTATTTTAAATTTAATTTCTTTTTCTTTATCTAAAGTTTATGATATATTTTTTAAAGAAAAAATAATTTATTCATTTCATCAATCTAACTATACAGTTTTAATATATATATATATATATATATAATATGATAATGAACATTTAACATCGATGAAGAAAAAGAACTTCAACATGAATAAAGGTCTTAAAATGATGAAATAAAAAATTCAAAAGTTTAAATTTAAAACGAGGGTTATAATTTGAGGACATATGATGCAATTAACTCAAAAAAATATTATAACAAATTGACTATTAGTTTTGTTATAATTTAAACATGAATGACATATTTAAAGTGATTACAAATATATATCACAATAAGAAAATCAACTCAAATAGCTTAAAATAACAAACATAACAAAAGAACTAAACATCATCAAATTGAGGAAGACGGCAATAAATTAATCTCTAAAAATGATTATATAAATAAGACTATTACATTTATATGACGAACCAAAAACTTTCATAGATTTTATAAAAAAAATTAAAAATATTAAATAAAAAAACAAAAACACCTGTCTATCGTAAAATTAAAATGCTCATAAAACATATAAAATTTATGCTAATAAAAATTTAGTAAAGTATACAAATGATCCTCTGACTATTGGGTGATGTTTTATTGAGTCTTCAATTAATAAAAGTTACGAAATAGTTTCTTGACTATATGACAATGCTTTGTTGAGTTCTCTGACTATTAAAAGTTACAAAATGATCACCCAACTATTCATATGATTCAAACTCATCATTTTCTATTAAAAATATTTTCTGTTAAAAATTTGACGACATTTTGAGTTGGACTTTAATATGCTGAATATGATATAATAAAATTTGATCTCAAAATCTTAAATGACTATCATATCTCAGTCAACAGGTTAATGTCCAACTCAAATTGTCATCAATTTTTTTAACGAAAAAAAGATGAGTTTTGAACATATGAATAGTCAGGTGATCATTTTATAACTTCTAATAATCGATACACCCTATAGTCGAGAGATCATTTTGTAACTTTTAATAGTTGAGGCACTCAACAAAACAACACCCTATACGCAGGGATGGAGTCAGGAATAAATATTGGCAGGAGCCGAAATATTGATTTTTTTAAAAGAAAAATGTAATGAATTATTAGGTATTTAAACTCAAAATTCAAAAGATAATGTTTATTTGTCTAATATTTAAATTTACAATGAACTAAATTGTTATTAGACCAAGAAATTTAAGAACATGATATTATTCATCTTTCGTTGAGTCCTTAATTAAATATTTAATAAATTCTTATATTTTTTTAATTTGAATATTTATTTTTATATGAATCAAAATAATAACATATTAAAATTTATCAAATATAAAACTTTTTACAGGGGCAAGAGCTCTTTAAACCTTAAGGGGGTGTTTGGTTCAGGTAATCTGAGATTACCGGGGGAATGAAATCTCATTTCCCCGTTTGGTTGGCCAACATTCCCAGCCCCCAGTATTTTTTTATTACCAACAGTGGATTTTTTGGGTATATTACCGGGAATGTCATTACCTCCCTTCCCTTAGGTATTGTTGGATTACCAGCGTTTTGGACTAAAATGCCCTTAATTTTTTTTCTTTCAAAAATATCCTTATTATGTCATTGAATAATAAAAATTCTACAAAGGTTTAATTACAAATTTATCCTTAAAATATTTTAGATTTTAAAAAAGAGTCTATAATTAGAATTTTATATGAAGTTCAGGGGTTAAAATAAAATTTTACCCTTTCATTAAACCTATTTATCTTTTCAATTTTATAAAAACAATTATATAAATTTTATGAATTTAAATTTTTTAAAGAAAATATATAAATTAATTATATTAATATTATAGTATAATTCAACTTGTTAAAAAAATATAATAAGGATAATTTGGTAAAATATACATTCCAATAATCTTTTATTCCTTTAAACAAACACGATAATCTTACATTCCTGCAAAACCAACCAAACACAAAATACAATATTCCCAGTAATCATATTCTCTGGTAATCTTTTATTTCCATTGGTAATCTTATATTCCGTTAACCAAACGCACCATAAGGGAGTTTCTTCCATGCCTATACAAAAGACCATTTGTGTATTTTACCCTTAAAAAAAATTGAGATATAAAAATCAACCCATACAACCTTGTTGGGCTCCTAAGTTAGCCAAGGCCGACAAGTATGTATTCATAGAGATGAATCCTGCATGTTCCACTACTCACCGTCTCAAAACTAATCCTCGGTTTCAAATGTTGTATTAATTATGGTTAAGACATTCTATATTTATATAAATTTAAAATATTAACAATTTATATCAATATAAATTTTCAGATATTTGTATATTTTATTATTTTTATAAACCTGTATATGTCCATATATTTAAATTATATTTGTAATCATATTAATTTGTACTTATACTTTATTTTAAAATTTATAATAAAGTAAATAATAAAACTGAAACAAACTAAAAAGAAAACACTAATAATTGTAATATAGTAAACCTTTACTCATCATCATTTTTAATTTATTTTGACAGCAAAATCAGCCCTATATGCTGCCTCTTTATGCCTATATATATATAACATTGAAATTAAGATGCTTTTAACACTGAGGATATGGAACTCCACAAGCTCTAGCGATCATTCTAGTGTTGGGGTTATCAGCAAATTGTCTCAAAGCAGGGTCGTTAAGGTACCCGCAAAAGCATGTCGTCTGGTCCCTCAGCCTGTTGCAACAGCTTTCGGATGGAGGCACCGATGACGTGATCGCTGGCAAGCATACGCTAAGTTCTATGGGGTTGCATGTTACTTGTGCCTCCGCCCAGTGTGTTTCACCCGAAAACACCGCCGCCACCAACACCACTAGTACCGTCGCACTTAAGGCAACATATGGAAACCTCTTCATTTTTATTTTGTCCCACTCAAAGTTGTGAGGCTAAGGACCATGATTTATGGGTGTGGATTTATGATCGGCTCAAGTTCTTTGTGGGGGCGTTTCGTCACACTATTTGAGACCCCAAACTAAAATCAAATTTAGGTTAAAGTTGTTGGTATCTCTCTTTGTGTGAACGAAATAAACGGAATCTGTATCTATATTAGCTCTTCACGATGTAATGTCACGAATTAAATAGAAAACCAACTCAGTTGAATACATTAAAAAATAAACCCCTAAGGAGGTTGGTTCAAGTGGTAATAACTTAATATCGCTCAAGTAAGTTTCGAATTTGAATCTTTGTGTATACAGAAAATCTCTGTTGAAATACCCACCCACCAAAACCAAATATACGACACGGATCAGTCTGAATTAATTAGGACGAAACCTTAAGAACCGGAAGGAGAAAAAATGAATCGAAGTTGGTGGACATGACTGAAAGTTGTGCGGAATTTTTTAGCGCATGTTCGAATCCTCCTCCTCACATTTATTTTTATGTATTAAGATCAACAAATGGAGTAAAAATATAGTTTTAGAAAATATGTATTATAACAACAATCAGTTGGTCTAGTAGGATTAGACACTAGTTTCCTTAAGCAAAGTCAAAGATTTGAACCATTGCGTTTGCGAATGGAGCAAACTGAGTTGAGAGGATAGCCCTCGCCTCTGCAATACATAATCTGGATTAGTAGATTAATAGATCGGATACTAGTTATTAATTTAAAAAAAGAAAATATTTATTATGTTGACTAAAGTTTTGTACTGATATGAAATATTTAGTATGCTAATTTTATAATTGACTATCAGAACAATAATCAACTGTAAACTTAAACAAAAATCAAAAGAGAAATTAAAATTTTCAAATAAAAAATAATACATACCTTCAATTTTTTTTAAAAAAATAGGGAACTCCCTAAAATAAAGATGCGTTCATAAATTAGGTCAAACCAAGTTCAAGTTAAGCTTATATATAAAATTAATACACTTTGTATTGTTCAAGCCCTATCCAAAATATAAACCTCAAATTTTATCCAAACTTGTTTATATTTAGGGTAAACTACACGGGAGACCACTAAAGTATGCTTAGAAATCAATGTGACCACCAAACTTTCAAATGAATCAATCAGACCACCCAACTATTTAATTGATTCAATCAAACCATCGACCGTTAGTTTTTAACAGAGGTAGTCACGTGTCCGTTAATAACATTGGCATAATTATATATTTAGTCCTTAATATTTACATATTCTATTAATTTAGTCACTATTTTAATTCAGTTAAATAAATTTAACTATCCAATTAGAACGTGACACATGTAAATACATGATTGAAAGGTTTTATTTATGAATTTAAAATTATTTAATTAAATAATTTTTCTATCCAATCAGGTGTTGATACTTGTCACCACCAATTGAAATGAAAATAAAGGGATAATCTTATGCTTAATGGGAATCAAACTAAGGTCTTGGGGGATAAAGCAGATGCCCAAACCATTGAGCCAAAGGTCCCAAATGATTTAAAGTTACAACAATTTGTATTTGTCTTTTAAAGGTTTGTTCAGGATAAAAAATTAGGTCAACTACATGAGAGACCACTAAACCATGGTTAAAAATCAATGTGACCACCAAACTTTCAATTGAATCAATCACACCATCCAACTATTTAATTGATTAAATCAAACCATCGACCATTAATTTTTAACAGACTTGGTGACGTGTCCATTAATAAAATTGACATAATTACATATTTGGTCCTTAATATTTACATATTCTGTCAATTTAGTCATTATTTTAATTCAATTAAATAAATTTAACTATCCAATTAAAACGTGACACATGTAAATACATGATTGGAAGGTTTAATTTCTGAATTTTAAATTATTTAATTAATTAATTTTTCTATCAATCAGGTGGTGACACGTGTCTCCACCCGATTAAAATGAAAATAAAAGGACCAACATGCTTGCAAGGGAAATTGAACCTGTGTCAAGGGGGAAAAACTACCAGGCGTCTAAACCATTAAGCCAAAAGTCCCAAATACTATAAACTTACAACAATTTGTATTTGACTTGTAAAAGTTTATTAATGATAAAAAATTAAACAAATTGTTTTTTAAACAAATTATTTTTTAAATTAATTGTAAACTATTTTTTGAATTAAAATATTCATTTTTTATATAAATTAGAAAATTTTAAAAAAATTTCGTTAATTCAAAAATTGACCGAATTAACCGAAATTTGTTCGGTTCGGTTGCTAATTTTCAAATAAATTTCGATTCGATTAATAGTTAAAGAAAAAAAATTCGGTTAATTCGGTTCAGTTAATAATTTTCAATTTAATTCGTTCGGTTAATAATTTTCAAATAAATTTTGGTTTAATTAACCAAACCGAATTAACCGAATTTTGCTTTGATTAATTCGATTAATAATTTTAAAAAAATTGGTTAATTCGGTTCAGTTAATAATTTTCAAATTAATTCAGTTCGGTTAATAATTTTCAAATAAATTTTGGTTTGATTAACCGAACCGAATTAACAGAATTTTTGCTTCGATTAATTCGGTTAATAATTTTCATAAAAATCGGTTAATTCGGTTAAGTTAATAATTTTCAAATAAAATTTGGTTTGATTAACCGAACCAAATTAACCAAAATTTTGCTTCAATTAATTCGGTTAATAAGTTTTTTTAAAAAATCGGTTAATCGGTTCAGTTAATAATTTTCAAATTAATTTGGTTCAGTTACTAATTTTCAAATAAATTTTGGTTCGATTAACCGAACCGAATTAACCGAATATTTTTAATCGTTAATCGAACCAACATTTATTTGAAAATTATTAGTCGTGAATAATTTATTTATTTTTTAATAATTTATTTAAACAAATAATTTGTTTAATTTGTTATCCTTAACAAACCTTTAAAAGACAAATACAAATTGTTGTAACTTTAAACCATTGAGGATCTTTGGCTCAATGGTTTGGGCGCCTGCTTTATCCCCAAGACCTTGGTTTGATTCCCCTTGAGCACAAGATTATCCCTTTATTTTCATTTCAATTGGTGGTAACATGTGTCACCACCTGATTGGAAAGAAAAATTATTTAATTAAATAATTTAAAATTCATAAATAAAATCTTCGAATCATATATTGACATATATCACATTCTAATTGGATAATTAAATTTATATAATTGAATTAAAAGAGTGACGAAATTGATAAAATATGTAATTATTTAGGACCAAATATATAATTATGCCAATTTTATTAACGGACACGTCACTACCTCTGTTAAAAATTAACGGCCGGTAATTTGATTGAATCAATTAAATAGTTGGGTGATCTGATTGATTCAATTGAAAGTTCGGTGGTCACATTGATTTTTGACCATAATTTAGTGGTCTCCTGTGTAGTTTACCCTAAAAATTAAAAAAATATTTATTTAAATACATTATTAAAAAATTAAAAAAATTATTCAAGACTAATAATTATCAAATAAATTTTGGTTCGATTAACGTTTAAAGAAAAAAAATCAGTTAATTCGGTTCGGTTAATCGAACCAAAATTTATTTGAAAATTATTAACCGAACCAAATTAATTTAAAAATGATTAAACGAACCGAATTAACCGATTTTTTTTAAAATTATTAACCGAATTAATCGAAGCAAAAATTCGGTTAATCGAACCAAAATTATTAACCGAACCGAATTATTTTGAAAATTATTAACCGAACCTAATTAACCAATTTTTTTGAAAATTATTAACTGAATTAATCGAAGCAAAAATTTGGTTATTTCTTTTTGGTTAATCGAACCAAATTTTATTTGAAAATTATTAACCGAATCGAATTAATTTGAAAATTATTAACCGAACCGAATTAACCGATTTTTAAAAAAAATATTAATTGAATTAATTGAAGAAAACAATTCGGTTAATTCGGTTCGGTTAATCGAACCAAAGTTTATTTGAAAAATATTAATCGAACCAAATTAATTTGAAAATTATTAACCGAACTGAAATAACCGATTTTTTTTCTTTAACCATTGATCGAACCGAAATTTATTTGAAAATTATTAATCGAACCGAACAAATTTCGGTTAATTTTTGAATTAACGATTTTTTTATAAAATTTTTCTAATTTATATAAAAAATGAAAATTTTAATTCAAAAAAATAGTTTGCAAAATTAAATAATAATTTGTTTAAACAAATAATTTATTTACTTTTTTTAATATTAACAAACTTTTACAAATCAAATACAAATTGTTGTAAGTTTAAACAATTAGAGACCTTTGGCTAATGGTTTGGGCGCCTGGTAGTTTTCCCCATGACACAAGTTCGATTCCTCTTGCAAGCATGTTGGTCCTTTTATTTTCATTTCAATTGGGTGTTGACACGATGAAAAATCATTTAATTAAATAATTTAAAATTCATAAATAAAATCTTCTAATCATGTATTTACACGTGTCACGTTCTAATTGGATAATTAAATTTATTTAATTGAATTAAAATAGTGACTAAATTGATAAAATATGTAAATATTAAGGATCAAAAATATAATTATGCCAATTTTATTAACGAACACGTCACCACCTCTGTTAAAAATTAACGGTCAGTGATTTGATTGAATTAATTAAATAGTAGGGTGGTCTGATTGATTCAAGCATGTTTGTCCCTTTATTTTCATTTCAATTGAGTGGTGACACGATGAAAAATCATTTAATTAAATAATTTAAAATTCATAAATAAAATCTTCCAATTATGTATTTACACGTGTCACGTTATAATTGGATAGTTAAAGTTATTTAATTAAATTAAAAGAGTGACTAAATTGATAAAATATGTAAATAATAAAGACCAAATATATAATTATGCCAATTTTATTAACGAATACGTCACCACCTCTGTTAAAAATTAACGGTCGGTGGTTTGATTGAATCAATTAAATAGTTGGATGGTCTGATTGATTCAATTGAAAGTTCGG